ACACCGTGAAATCCGTGAAAGAGATTTTTTGGTATTTTCCATATGTTTTGATAGGGATTCTAGAGGGTGTCTTCCAAGAGCATTTGGGGGTCAAGTTGATCAGTGACTTCGAAGTCGATCCCTGGAGCTATGTCGCTACCGGAGCTCCCCTTTCCGTTGGCCGAGCTCAACTGGGACAAGTTTGAAGATGTCCAGAAGGCTGTTGGATTAGACTCCATGGATACGCTCAAGGTCATGAAGCTGGTGTTGGGCTCGGAACCGCCTGAGGTGCCTTGCATATGTTGATTACAATTTTGAGTGTGGGTGACCAACCAAGATATGTGGGTACCCAAAACAACAAACATTAAGACCATGAGGTCCCCATATGAAATATGTTTCCCTTGATCCCCCAAACCTGTTCCAAGGGCCCCTGCATGCTGCCAGGCCCTCCTGGAGTTCATCGAGCCGAAGCAAGTGAGAGGGAAACCAAAAGGGAAACCAAAAGGGGCACCAAAAGGGAAAGCGAAGGCGAAAGGGAAGGCGTGTGCTAAGGGCAAGGCTAAAGCCAAGGCCAAAAGCAAGGCTAAAGCCAAAGGCAAGAAGCAGAGAACTGTGCTGAAAGCTGGTCGTTCTGCTGGCGTCCTGTCACCAGAGGATGGTGAAGAGGAGGAACAAGAACAGGATGATGTCGTCGAGCCTGAGGAGCCGGCTGTACGCAAGAGGCCAGCGGCCAGGTGCGCACCGAAAGTACGGGTGCGAAAACCTGACATTGAGGTTGCGGTGGAGGGCCCTGCAGCTGGGGGCCCTGACAGCATGCTGCCTGCAGGGGATATGGGCCCTCCACGCCGTCGGCTTCGGAATGGTGCCACTGCTTTGGAAGGCCTTGAGGAGTCCCAGGTGTAACTTTGGTTGGACAATTCAATAAGGTTTGTTTTGTATAGGTTTTTTTATGTGTTTAATTCAATGGGTGGGGCACTAGACTAGGAGAAAAAAAAGGGATGGTGAATTGACATGGTGCAATATATCAAGGTCCTGCAACACCTTGCAGCAAGGGCTGAATATGGTGGAGCAGCAGCATGGTGACGTAGCTGAGGAGCCTGCCTCCATAGTTGACTCATTGCAGTGGCTTGGGCTCTATATGTATTGTTGTTGTTAAGCCATTTGTAATTCTGCTTTTGCTTTTCCCCTTCAAGTCATATGGCCTGCTTTCAAATTTCTTTTCTTTTTGAACCATGTAAGGTTGGGTGACAGTGTCACGACTCTACCTCCGGGATCTCTTGAGATGCAATCGGCTTTGTCTGCAGCTCAAGTGCGAATTGCGCAGCTGGAGAAGCAACTACACATGCAATCTGTTGATCCTTCTTGTCCTGGGACTTTGGCACGGAGGCGCCATATCGATGAGGCTTGGTTTGGTTGAATATGCTCCCTTGTTTCTTGGGTCTGCCCCTTTCCTTTCAATTTTTGTTTATGTACTGAACCCTCCAGGTGGGCCTGGATGGTGTACCTTGCACACTGGATGACTTGAGTACTGCCTCAGATCGCACTCGAGACTACTTATTGGCGCAGAAGAAGGCCAAACTTGATGCTGGTGGAGAATGCCATGCACTTGCTGTGGCCACACCAGTGCCACCTGTACCAGCGCTTGCGCCAGTGTCTGAGGCAATAGTGGAACCAGCTCCAACGGAGAAGGCTGACTCAGATGTTATCGAAATTGAGGAGAGCCAGATTGTCCCTGACAACCAATTGGGCCTTTCGGACTCAGCCTCGGATGCTCCTACTCTACCGCTTGGCCACTGGGCAGAAGTTGATGAAACACAGGCGCAGCCCTCACCATGCACAGTTCCACTCCTCCCTGCAGATTCAGCAGTGGCTCCTGCGCCAGCTGCTGCTGGGCCTATCCCATCAGGCCTTGATCCTGCAGCTGCTCCAGGCTTGGATCCTTCAGCTTCCAAAGTGTCACCAGGGCCAAATGCTGTGGAGCCTAGTGATCCAGCAGGCGTTCATGCACAGCTGTCACAGGTGATGTCACCAGCTCCTCCTGCGCCAGCTGCTGTGGAGCCTAAGAGTGGTCCGGCAGACCTTCATCCACCTGCAGCTTCAGAACTACAGGTCGTGTCACCAACTGCTCCTGCGCCAGCTGCTGTGGAGCCTAAGAGTGGTCCGGCAGGCCTTCATCCACCTGCAGCTTCAGAACTACAGGTCATGTCACCGCCAGCTCCTGTGGAGCCTAAGAGTGATCCAGCAGGCCTTCATCCACCAGCAGAAGTGTCACCAGCTCCTGAGCCAGCTGCTGTACCTGATCCACCAGCTTCAGAACTGCAGTCAGCTCCTGAGCCAGCTGCTGTCAAATCAGCTTCAGTACCACCTCAACAGGCTCCAGCTGTGCCAGCTGCCTTGCCTGTAGAGCCAGCTGTGAAGCAACCTCCAAAAGAGCTGGCAGCAACTCCAGCCGCACCTCAAGCAGCTTCAGCGCTGGCTGTTCCTGCAGTACCTGCAATAGTTGCCCCTGCCTTGGCTCAACCTGCTGTTGCGGCTGCTGCTCAACCTTTACGTGCCATGGCCGGTGCGAGCTCCATGGAAGGCCATACAGGTGCAGCCACGACTTCTGGCATGAACTTCGCTGACCTTCCGGAGGACATCCGAAGGCTGGTGTCCAATGGACTGGTGATCAAGCCGCCTGCTGAGAAAATTGATGGTGATGATGATGCTTCGCAACACATCAACACTTCCTCTCACGAGAATGCGGCCATGAGAATGAATCGCTTTATGCAGTCAAAAGCATCGGTGAAGTTCCCGCACATGGTCGCCTTATTCAATGGTACGCCAGAGGTGCCTTAAGTTGGAATTGAGATATATGTTGCTTTGTTTTTTGGTTGGATTTGTTTGCATTCTTGGTGGTCTGGGCCTGCTGCAGGATCGACTCAGACTTCTTCGATCCTGGGTCATGTGTGATGAGAACAGAGCAGCTTGTGAGTCCCAGGTCGTTCTTTCGAAGGAGAAGTCTGAGAGCAACAGTGCGGAGCGAGAACCGTGGTCTGTACGCGACATGCTCCAGGCAAACTGGCCGATTGAGAAGATTCGGTCGATTGTGGCTCGTGGAGGTGCAACTCCAGACCCAGACTGTCCGGAGGTGGAGGAGTGCTTCCAATACTGGGTGATTACCCGCCGCCGCCGCACATCAGCTGAGCGGACCTCTCAGACCGCCTCGACTCACATACAGGTGGAAACCACACCAACAGGCATTGGTGAGCTGTTGACTTCTTCGTTTGAGCTTGGGGCGCCTGCTGCTCCTCGATCTACTGCTGCTGGGCTGACTGCGCCGGCGGCTGTGGGAGTGGCTGCCAATCCTGCTGATTTGGTGGCCCGAGTGCAGCAATCGATGGCTGGATCAGGTGCATGGGTCGCCAATTGATTTATGTATAGATTGTGCTACCTATAGGTGTTCTTTGAATTTGAAACCAACCAGCATTGATCCCTAGAGGTGGCCGTGGACAAGCTCCGCTGGTACCAAAGGCCAAACCCAAGAGGAACCCCAAGGCCAAGTCAGCCCCTGTCCAAAATGCGGAGCCGGCCAGTGCTGATGAGCTGAAGACATCCCTTTGCCATTTGCTTTGCAAATATTAGCACATTTTTTGTCTTTCCCTTATAGTTACATCTTTCTTTTGCATGCTCTCTATACTTGTCTTTGGTAGTTCTTCTATACTGAGGTAACCAACTGAAGAAAGAGATCAATGGTTGCAACAATGCTGCGCTGGACCTTCCTGCAAGGGACAATCTGCGCACGGTGCTTTTGCAGTTCAAGACTCGCTACGAAGAGTTTTTGGAGGAGTCTTTTGGATACATATTCAGCATAATATATTTGAGTGTTGTTTTTTAGACTGCTTGTCCTAACCCTATAGATTGTTTGGTTTCTTTCCCACAAGTAAGGCTGAAGAGCATTTCGCTCATGCAGGAGTTGAAGGATCTGCAGGGAGAGATCACTGACAACGTAACCTGGATTGTTTATACAAACAAAAATGTTTTGTTATGTCTTTATGGAATGATCGAACTGTCCTGAAATTTTGGTGATTCCACACATCTATATATAAATCTTTGTGCCCGAGGTCTCCAAAATGAAGATTGTCAAGGCCCAGGCAAAAGCAGTGCTGGGTGAGATGAAGCGCCAGAGTACCGCAAGCCAATCTTCGGTTGGCTGAGCTTTTGAGGTCTCCGCAAATAAATGTGGGAGGATGTAGGGTTGAATATTTGTTGGCTGCAGCCCCATAGCCTACGTTGCAATATGAATGAACCATCCCTAGATATACTGATCACTGTGTCATTGGATGTTTGACCAAAACTGCACGTGGGAGGGGCGCTGATCGACAGCTGATTCTAGTTTAGACATCCTTTGGCGGAGCTTACGTTCTGGACCGCTCTGGTTGGAAAAATATATGTACGTGTTTGTTCATTCGACTTCCAAACAGGTTTAAACCATTTGCGCCCCCCCTCGCAGGTGAGTGGGAAGATCCCCGGCTGGCAAAGCGTCAGAGGCTTGATGAGGTGTTCTTTGGATATTTTTGAGTCAAACATTTTTTCTATTTGGGTTCCATGGTTCACCCCATCAAGCATAGCGAAACCCTTGCCACCCATCTCTGTGCCTTTAGACCTCCATGACTCCATGACCCCCTCCGTGCAGCTCCAAACCATGAGGCTGGCGCGCGGTGTTGGATCTGGCGGTGCCTCGCTGAAGCATGCTTGCGAGGTTGGTGAGATTGTGGGCTCTGAAGTCTTCACGCGGAGTCTTGGCAAACTTTGTACCTTGATTTGAAACTTCTTTGAAGGGTTCGAGTCTTTTTTAGATACTGTATATATATATAGTGAGATCTTTTAGAAAACAGTTCTATATATATATATGGAAGGAGTCCTTGTCATCAGTTTGGGGTGTGGAAGTAAGGATGGGCCAAAAAGAGCATAATGTTCATCGGGCGGCTGTGCGAGAAGGGCTGAGCTTTGATGTGGAGCTATCTTTCAAGGACCTGCCTATGTGCACCGATGAGAATTCTGGCCGAGTGGAGATTCAATCGTGGCCATTTCTCCTTCCACATGATTTAGTACCCCGGTGAAAATCAGTACATTGTTGTTTTGTTTTTTTTGGGCTTCTCTGCTGAAAGGTTTTCTGGTGATGTGAATTGTCTTGCTCAGGTAGCTGCGATGGTCAAGCATGGGCAGTTGAAGTATCTCACTCAGTTCGAGAAGATGCATCACTATTGGGAGAACTTGTTGAGAGACTATCCAAACCATCCAGTACATGGACATGAGGCCACAAGTGTGCCTTTGACGCTCTATGGTGCCTGGCCTGCTATTAGAATATGTACTGTATTTTGATCGTTTGTGATTTGGGACTTCTAGCTATGAAGGACAAGTTGATATTTAGCCCTCGAGATGTGTTTGGTTCTCGAGGAGATGAAGGCCAAGCTCTTGGGGGAACATGGATGAATTACCACTTTCGCCCTGATCTATCCCCCTGCATTTCCAATTCGGCCTGCAGCAGATTCTTGATTTGCACCATTCCATCGTCCATGTACCTCAGATCGACAAGGGTTCATGTTCTATATGTGTTTTTTTTGACCCCATGGTGATTGCATTGGATGTTTTAAACCATGTATGCAGTGACCATTTTCAATGTTCAATGAAACAAAGGTATGTCTTTGACGAGAATGGAGTCAACCTTACGCTTCAATCAGCTGCTGGGGCGATTCGCGATAGCTTCAACAAACTGTCGAGAGATGGTGTTCCTTTGGTTGACCCTGAAACGGGTGAATCTGTGCCATGGCCTTTTCGCAAAGACTTTTTTTCAGTGTTGCTTTGTGCTGCGCAAGCTTTGTTGTAAAGGTTGTTTAACAAAAGCCTGAATGAAAGAAGTGAGGTATCTGTGCTCAAGTTTTGGGTTATGCACTATACTGGAGATTGGAAATTCCTTTACCAAACCTTCAACTTGGTTCGCTACGCAACCTTCGAGGAGGACAGCTGTTATTAAAAAGACATCCTGGGGTCATTAGTTTCTCTTCTCATGAACACTGTGTCCTCGATGTCGATATGTGATCTGTTCAAATATATTTTTTGGTTTACCCTGCAGATCTGCTGGATATGCCTTTGCACAAAGGGCTCTACAGATGTCTTGTGGAGCTTTACAAACTTGAATGATGATTCGCCTTGGATGAACACATTTTTTACTCAAGACCCTTGGTCTGTGAGACCAGCGCTTGCTGATGTTGATGGCTTCACTATGCGCATGTTGTCGATTGATTTGCTCCACGCCTTTCATCTAGGCGTGGGAAGGGACCTATGTGGCTCTGCGATTCGGATCTTTGCCAGCCAACGGTGGGGTATTTGGTCTGGATCCAATATTGAGGCGCGCTTGGAATTCGCAACCTCGAGACTGAAGGCTTTTGCGAGCAGAAATCGGTTGAGCTTGACACTCAAGAAGCTTTCGCAATCCAATCTGACGTGGGAAACTCTGAAGTATCCAGAGTTGAAATGCAAAGGGTACGATACATACATTGTGTTGAAGTGGCTTGTTGAAGAGGTCACATTGCAGGATTGTGGAAATGACCTTTTGGCCTGTGCACTTTGGGCTGCTGACAGTTGGTTGCGTGTTTTGAGCAAGTCTGGGCTGTTCCTCACTCCAAATGAAGAGTTGCACAAGCTTCAAGTGGGGAATCTATTCCTCAAGAGCTACCTCAATCTTGCAGTGGGTGCGTTGGAGAATCGCAAAATGCTTTACAGGTTGCGACCCAAGTTCCACTTACTGTTCCACCTGGTGAATGAAAACCGGCCATCCAGGTTGAACTGCACTCTAAATTCCACCTGGATGGATGAGGATGCCATGAAGAAGTGGATGCGTATAGCCCGTATGGTTCACAAAAGAACAGCTGCAGAGAACACGTTGCGGCGCTTCATCCTTGGCTTCCACACCAAGCTCCGATTGGCCAATGCGCCCCAACGCTGATGGAGCCAGGAAAAGCGTGCGAGGGACACCTTGGTGCGCCTAACATTTTTTTGAACGAACAGTGTGGTTAACTAGTTTAAATAAACCTGAAGCTGTTTTGGCTCAAGTACTTGTGGTTCAGCTGAAAACACGCTATTTGTTTTGATGTCTGGCTAGTGCCTGAACACAAAGACATGTTGCGCATATGGCCTTCATGTCTCTTAGCTTGCAAGCTTGGTAGTGGAGCGGTCTTCTTTGGAATGAGAGCCTTGGCTCATTCTCTGTCAGCATTTTTAGCGTGAAAGTGCGTGAAAAACGCCCATATGTACACGAAAAAAACATAACTTGTACGAATGAGTGTATGTACCAGTTTTAGTGGTACATATGGATGTCTAGGGTGTGAACCCACCGCGTGCCGATCACCTGACAATCGTCAGGCAGTGCTTGGATCTGTTCGTCCGTGAGGACCTCCACTGCGCTGAACTTCTGCCAGCTTAGCCATTCTTTTTCCATGCTGGCATCGAACTTGAGGCGGTCTTCTGGTGAGAGAGCTGCGAGGTTGATCTCTGAGCGAACTGCAGCCTTTCCAGTGAGCATTGCCTCTTCGAAGGGTCCAGCTGGTGGATCTTCAGTGACCTCAACATCAGTGGAGGTTTCTCCGTCTTCTTGGCCCTGAAGGCGACGGAGCTCTTTCAGACCTGAGTTGAAGGTCGTTGCACTCATCGGGCCATGGATCGGCCAGGTACGGTCCGGGGGTACACCCGGGGCTGGTTATTGGACGTGGTGGGGCCATAACCATCGAGGCGGTCAGGGTCCCGTCTGGCGGTGTCCAATGTTGCCGTGGGCTGCGGTGGTCTGAAGCCAACTGGCGGAGTTGGTGGCACTTGAAGTGGAAACGCTCGTCCTGCATGTGGGTCAGGCGGCGTGTTGAGCCTGGAAAGTGGCTGTGGCTCTGGTTCGGCCACACTGGTTTGCCGAGGAAGGGCAGCGCCCGTCCTTATCTCTTGCTGTGGTTCCTCTGTGGTGGTTGTGGTGCATCAAGTTCATTGTCCTCCGGAACTGGAGGAAGATCTTCACCCCCTGGTAAGTCTTGGGGCGGCACTGATGGTGTGTAGACCATGTCGCCATCATCGCCATCTGGCTGGTTGATGAGATAGAAGATGGTCTCGCCTGTCCATTGGAAGGTGAGTGGGCGTTGTTCTTGTGGATCGCTGGCACGCCAATCATCTTCAATGGTGTCAGTCAGGGCGTGATCTCTTGCTTCAGCCGTGTAGATGGCTTCAGTGACTCGCACATTCTGGAGCTGGTCCAAGTCAACAGGACAGCCTTGGTCAGCGGGATGAAATAGAAGAAGTCGTGGTTGCTGATGCACACGAACCACACGGCCATCGCCAGAAACATGCCAAAAATCGACGACGGAACCCCCTGGCAGGTTGAGGTTCTCAAGCTGGAGTGGCCGGGCGTCGACATAGTTGCGAGCACCACGAAGTGAGCAAGATTGAACTGCATAAGAAGGGATGCAGTGAGCGGCCAAAAGCTCGTCTTCAGAAGCAAATCGGAGTTGCTCACCTGTGGCCAAGACAACGGAAGGTCCATAGCGAAGCCAATAGGAGTGTGGTTGACCGCTTTCAGTGGGTGGATCTTGATCTTCCAGACGACGTGGGTTGCGAAGTTCCACACCAATCACTCTCGCTGGGCCAAACCAGTTGTACTGTCGTTTGTCAGTCACTCGCTGGGGGCCAAGCTGCTTCTTGTAGGGATCCAATCGGGTATGGTCCTCTTGTTGGAGTGCTCTGACGAAGAAGGGCTCTGCGAATACGAGAGTCTGTGTCCAGTCTGACCTGAGCAACACGGGCAGCTTCACGGATCTGCAGTGTCTTTGCCATCTGTGATTGTGGGTTTTCAGCTGCCTCAAGAACTTCTAGTTGCTGTCCGGCTTCATTCGTGAGCAGTGAGCCAGGTAGTCGGAGTTCGGGAACACCAAGCACCCACTGGTTGGGTGAGTATCCATTGCTTCGTGGAAAGCTGTTGCGGGTCTGAGTGACAATGCCGGTGGCCAGGATGACATCGTCTAAACCAACGATCTGGCACTCAAGGCGTGTCTTGATCCAAAGATCTTTCCAAAGACCGCCAGCTCGTTCGCAGCGTCCACCTTTCCATGGAGCTTCCAGAGGCATGACTTCTTGTTCAATGCCGAAGGTCTTGAGGTGGTCGGCGAACCTTGCCATGAACTCCTTTCCTCTATCAACTTGAATACTGTAAGGGAGCCCGCACCATGAAGTCCAGGAAGTTGCAAAATGGCGAAGTGCTACACTTGAAGACGGGACTCCGGAGTGTAGGCCCATACAACAAACAACCTGGAAGCCGGTGGCATCACAAACAATGTTCAAGAAGGCATAGGTGGAGTTGGCACTGTCCTTTGCAAAGAAGGTGTCCATCAGGATGTGCCTGTTGAACTCATATCTGTTTGGGAGTCTGACTGGCTTCGGTCTCTTGGCTCTGATGCTATCACCACAGGCATCGCAGGCCAGAAGTCCAGCTCCTCGAATTGCTTCTTCTTTTGCACCTTGACGACGGAGGATCCTTTGGAGAGTGGTGTTTGTGCAGTGGCCAAAGTTGGTATGAAGGTCACGAAGGATCTTTCTGATCTCCGGATCGATCTGGAGCCACTGTTGTCACCTTCTCCAATGTTGAGGATGGGGTCCAAGGCGGCTGCGCGTTCAGCCCTGAAGTCATGGTCGTCTTGTGGCGTCTCGTCATCATCTTGTGGTTCTTGAGGTAGTGGATCTTCCAATTGGCCAGGTCGAATGTAGACCGTGTGCCAAAGTTGGAGCCAAGTGTGGCGACTCGACCTCGTCACAGTTTCTGTCTTTTGGGACTGCCTCCTTGACCTTGGTCATGACCTCGGGTTTCACTGGGAAAAGCCTCGTGGACACCGGAGTGAGCCTCGGTCTCGATGGTGGCTTGTTGAATGATGGTGTCCAGGACCAACTGATTGAGTTCATCGGGCCATTCAGCGGCTTGTGTAGTCCGAGAACCATAGATGTTGTTTCCCTCAAGAGTTTCATGACGGTGATCTCTGCTGCAGCACTTGTTGGCAAAGATGGATTCTGCAGCAATCATGGAGGCGATGTAAATTGACGGTTTGTAGTGGGGCAACTTGCTCTCTCGGTCGTGATAGCCGACCATGCAGCCATCAACACGGAGCAGAATCAGGTCGCCGGAGGTGATGTAGTTCATGATGTCTTTCATCTCATCTTCACATAGAGACTCAGTTCCGGCGGGCTGCTCTATGAAGACATGTCGCTTGGCTCGAAGTCTGTCCTTCACAGTCTTGTTGACAGTCTTGAGGACTTCACGGTTAGATTCACGGAGTGCTTTGACAGTCTCTGCAGCTTGACCTCCCTTGGCCAGGTTGAATCTTGACCAGGATCCCCAAGGTCCGCACGGATGGGTGATGATCGTGCAGTAGGGGTCTTCGACCTGATAGTCCTGGTGCAACCGTCGGCGACCAGCAGCAGTAGATGCATCCCAAGAACTTGAAGCGATGTCCAAAGGGGTGCCAATGCTCATGCCGATGAGGATGCCAAGGAGGGAAATGCCCAACTGTCCAGCGAAAAGCTGATTGAACCATGTCTTGCCGCAAGGAGGTCGGCGCTTCACCTTGATGGTGTTCTCATTCTTGAGGATGCGAGAGCGATTGTAGTCGTCGCCATCAAGGGAGAGGTTCATGGACTCAAGCTTCTTGCCCTTTTTGGAACTTGGCTTCCGTGTAGTGAAGTGTCCCTCGTCAACCATGGACAGGAAGATGTCTTCATCATCACAGTGGTGGCCATCATCTGGTGGCTCATCAAGGTCGAGGAACAACGCTTGATCTGGCCCAGGTGGATCAGGAGGTTTGTTGGCCCAGGGTCCCTGACGGGCTTCGTACAGTCATCGGGGTTCATGTCGTACTCATCATAGTCGATGCGGGCATCAATGGGAAGCTCATAGGTCTCGTCATGGATGTAGACCTCTTCCTCAGGGAACTCTGAGATCTGAGCCTTTTCAAAGTCGATGTTGGACTTGATGTCGCTGAAGTCGAGCAGGCTAATGGCCAAGTGTCCTCTCCGAGTGCGATAAAGTGGCAGTGAACTGATGCCAAGCTCGCTGAAGGACACGGTGTTGTTCTTCAAGTCGATGATGGTTCCAAGGGCCTGCATGAAAGGTCGAGAGATCAGCATTGGTGTCTGGCCGTCGGTCTCGGCAGAGTGGATAACTCCATGGGATCCTCCAATGCCAACTGGGAAAACCTTGACAATCTTGGACTCGGCTGCTCCTCCAACCTTGAAGGTTTGTCTTTTGTCACGGACCTTGGGCACCAGGTCATACTTGGAGATCTCTTCTTCAAAGCGATGCGCCCATTCTGAACCGCGCATGGTTCTTGTGCAACCAGAGTCGAGGATGGCCAGACCTGGAGGGTCTTGCGCTTCGAGTGCAAAGGCCTCATACTTGACGTTCTCTTCGATCTCTTCGGAGGCAACCATCATGCATTCGGAGGCAACCTGAGCAGGCATAGATGGGTCTGCTCGTACAGGGAAGATCATGTACCTCGCGCCGGTCATGTCCTCAGACTTGCCTCGCTTGGCTGCAGAAGATCCAGCACCCTTCACGAGTCGGTGGCCAGCTGCCCATGCCAGTTTGACCTTGCGGTACAGGTAGAAGGCAAAGCGATAGACCGTCGGGTCCATGGGCTGATTGTCCAAGGCATGTTGCAGTACCTGCTGGCAGTAGGGCTCGTACTCGGGAGAGGCAGAAGCAACTGCAAAAGGAATCGTTCCCTGCTCCAACATCAAAGGTTCCTGATCCGAAGGCAAAGGGATCAAGATGTCTTCTTGCAAGTGGTGGAAATGGCGGAAGTTCAACACTTGGTGCAAGTTGCACTCCATAGAGCCAGGCCTGATGCCTGGGCTGTCGCACGATCCGTGCGGTTGACATTTCCGAAGTGGTACTTGGTGATGAAGGCGACTTGACGTAGCCTGAAGGAGTGCTTGGTGCGACCAACTCCCAGGCTGAGGGCGCAGCTGACATAGCGGAGGAACCACGAGGTGGTGGTAGAGGACGTAGTCCATCTCGTTCTCGAGCGTACTCGTGAGTCAGTCGGCCTGCATAGCGATAGAGACCCTCGGATCGAAGTGCTGATCCCCACTTTGTGGCCATGAGAACCTGGACCATGTAGCCCCACAACTGAACAGGTTCTTTCCGGCGGGCGACCAAAACAGTCTTGTCACAGTCCTTGCAGGAGAGGTGTCTCGTGTGGCCGTTTGCTCCACGATGATACTGACGCTCAGGACCACCATTTCCTCGGGCATGCTCGCAGAGGATTGGGCTCTTGAAGTTGACAAAGCATTCGGAAAACTTGGAAGCGGTGAAACTAGCTCCCGGTCCATTGCCATCGGAGGGGTCAGCGACCGGGTCATTCGCCATCATGTAGGCGTCTGCATTCCGTCCAGTGCCGTCGATGGAGTCGAGGACTGGGTCATTCGCCGTCATGTCGGCGTACTCATGGATCAGGTCATACGTTGGGGGCAAGACATTCTCATGATCCATGTCATTCGGTGGCACTTCAGAGGTGTCCGCGATGTTGATGACAGGATGCTCCAAAACAACATTGTTGGCGACAAGGGCGGACCATTCCTTCTCCATAGCAGCATGGAAGGGCCGCTGGAAGTCCTTCAGGTTGCAGGTCTCGGTGAACTGAACCTCAGCCTCTTCATCAGACTCGATCTGATCGTGGAGCACGAAGAAGGATTGCGATGTCCTCTTCGGCGAGGCTTTCTTCTTAGCCTGACTTCCCTTTCCCTTGCCCTTCTTGGTGTTGGAGCGTTGAGGGCATTCTGCATCGCCGGACCAGTGACCACGTTGGCCGCAAGTGGTGCATGGAGTGACGCTCTTCAAGAAGCGAACAGCTGACTTGCGCTGTTCTTTGGCCTTGGCATCAAAACTCAATTCTCCGGTGGCCTTGAAGGGATATGGACCACCTTGTCCTCCTGAGCTTTTCTTGGGAGAGGTGCTGAACTGCTTCTTCTTCTTGAACTGAGCAATGGTGGCGTATGCTTCAGCCACCTGGGAATCATCTAGCAGTTCTCGATTCTCGCTCAGGAGGGCCTCCAAATCTTCATCGTCGTAGTTCACGAAGGCCTCATCAGCCGGCTCGTCATCCTCAGGGACCTCATCTTCGTAGAAGATCTCTTCGCCGAGGTCGGCTGCAGGGTCATCATCATCATCATCTTCATGGGTTGCAGCCAGAACTGAACGAGCCTTTTGGGTCATCTTCCACTTGTAGCGGCTCTGAGGTGGGCCATCATTGAAGCTTCGTGAGCCTCGACTGGCTCCCAAATAATCTCTTCTTGCAAGTGGCTTGCCCGTGGCTTGAGGGTATTGGATCCTCAGGGCATGACTGATCTTCTTGAAGTCATACTCATTGCCAACACTTGCAAGGACGCTCAACTGCTCGCGGTGGTCCAGGCCGGAGAAGATCAGCAACATCATACTGCGGAGGTTGTCGGAGACCTGGGTGCCAGATGATGCTTCCAGCAACCGGTTGAAGTCCTGCTCCCTTCTCACAATATATTGTTGCATCGTCTCTGAGGGCTTTCTCCAAACCTGGGGCGAGTAGAAGGCGGTCAGGAAGAGCTCGTTGATCCTCACCGGAACTTCAGCAGCTATGGACTCTTTGAGAGTCCGGATGAGGAGCTTCATGCCAGCATCGGTCTCCTTTCCATCCCTCGAAGTGCACAGGGATTCGTGGCTCAGCTTGCGAACAGCATCATAAGCAGCGGCCGTGAGTCCTGATCGAAGGTGGATCGGTGTGGCGATCTGGGTGGCGTCGTTGCCAGCTCTTCCATAGAACAGGTCCCAAGCCCGTTCCTCATATTCTTCAAACACATCGGCCGTCCCGTCGAACTGCGGGACTCCATGTCGATCGCACTCCAAGCGCGCCGACATCGTGGTGAGGGCGTGGGCCCTGGATCTGCAGCGGCAGGGCGGAAGCCGCGGCCGAGCAGCCGCCAGGAGCCAAGGCGGCGTCCGCCGTCGGACAACCGCTCAGGAGAGCGAGCGCGCAAGGCACGGCGCGAACCAAGCGCACCGCTGGCGGGAACCGCAGCTAAGCGGCTCCGCCTACCATCAAAATCCGCGTGGCGGCGCGCCGGAATGAAGGCACCTTTTTGCTTGATACTCAAGAGCGCTCTGCGGCGTGGATGCATGGTTTCATGCCTAGCCACCTGACCTCCAAGGATGTTCAACTGCCATGCTCATTGACTGTTTCACACAAAGTTAGGGTCTGGATCCCCAGCATCTAGATCAGGAACATCTTTTATTTCAGTTGTCTCCAAAGAGACGTATCAGGCCTGATTTGAGACAACTAGGGTCGCTTCAGAGGTAAAAGTTGTGTTTTCCAACATGCTATGACCATTTACACAAAACTTGTAAGAAGAACGGTAAAAACAGGTGCTCCTGGAAGTAGCAACAACCTAACTTAGCAGCCATTACAAAACAAAACAAAGATAGGAAAACATCTATCAGCCGAACCTCAATCGGTGCAAGCACGTCGAAAACAATGTTCTCCGCCGCACCACTTCCCTCTGATTCATTCCTGACAAAGGTGCTCCCATAAAACAAAATGAACTCATTGTTGAATTAGTTGCACTTCATTTCCCTGAAAGCTAGGAACTGTTTCGACCATGCGAAGCGGTCTTCAAGGAAACATCCGAGGTTCGTCCATAGCCGCAATTTCTGATTGCATATATAGTTGAAACATGGTTTCTTGAAACCATCAACGCTACCACAAGACCTTATCTAACTAACTCTTTACTCAGGAACATGAAAACAATCCAATCTCCAGCCTTGCTGATTGCATGGCCAAGTCCAGGTAGGACAGCAAATCCCTGAAAACCACAGAACGGCGAGGCAAGCATTTTTTCAGCGATTGGGACGGGACTTGCGCCTTCTGCTGACAATGTAAACCAAGCTGCCCTTGGTGTCCTGTGAGCTTGCAACAGAAGTACAAGCAGCCAGTTGACAGTTCATTGAAATCTAAAGCCACTGCAAAGGAATCACAGTACTACTGATGCAACGTATTGCGACACCTCCACAATAGGAATTGTAGTATGGTGCGTCTTGGCAAAGAAATGTAGAAGCTCTCCCAGGGGTTGAGTTTGGCCTCAAACAAGGATGGGTCAGAACCAATATGCAGAACATGCGGAGCAAATATCTAATGAAGGCCTCCAATCTAATAGCAATGGCCTCCAACCTAATAACAATGACCTCCAACCTAATATGAAACAAAACCTCTGGAACGAAAACACACTGTCATGTTCTCAGTCAACATCAGTCAACTGTGCTTCCTCGATAAAGGAGCGGCGATGTCAAGCCTCTTTGCTTCCATACACTGGCACAGCAAGAACTTCTTGGTCCCATCTTTACATTGTTATAGTACTGGAGCGAAACACCAGCATTGGCTTCCAGCAAGCAAATGACTTATGGTACTTGTGGCAACGCAAGCCTGTTCTGATGTCCAATTCTGACTTGTTGGACTGCTATCCTTGTTAACTTTGCAAACTGCTCTTATCTGCTCTTGCTTTGGCTTGCTACCCTTGCTGTCAAGCTGAGTGGCTCAAGACCCACGGTGACGTCGTGGCCTCAAGTCTCTCGGATCTCGATACTCGATACTCTAGCTTCTTGTTCCTAGTAGTAAGGCCAGGAGCCCCTAGTAGCGTCCTTGCTCCTAGTAGCGATGCCCTTTGCTCCTAGTAGAAACCTAATGGAAACAACGTGTCCTCCATTTAGACAAACCTAATGGCGTCCGAACGCTCCGTTCGTAGCCATGCCAGGAGCCCCGTTCGTAGCGTCCGATCGCTCCTAATATCTGAGATACATATAATAGTCCGTACTCTACTAGGTAGTAACAAGAAGCTATTAGAAACAAGTGCCACGCTAGTAGTAACAGGTGCCTTACTAGTAGTAACAAGAAGCTAGTAGA